ACAATGCAAAGACTTTGGGATGTTATCACAAAAGCAATGCTAACAGCTTTGTGGGCAGACACAGCGGCACTTTCACCTTATTGTTAATGCAGAACATTGACAACAAGCTGGTGTGTAGAGCGTATGAAGTTTAAAAACGTTTACAGTGTTAATTTAACGAGCTTGTTGAAAGGTCCTTAGGTGATCGTTAGTTAGTAAGCAACAAACAAGAAGTATTTAGATACAATTTAATTACAAAAAATAGTGCGGCCCCCCCAGTGACCGACACTCAGCTTCACAAAATCAAAGAAAACAACTAAAACTAAGTTGAACAAAAACATCTCAGTTGGTTCCTAAAACAACAAATAATAATCAAAACAAGTAAAAAGCCGAGACAACAGGGCAAAACACAACAAAACAGCAGCAGGTGAGCCTACAAAAGGTTAAATGGGGGTTAAAAATGGCTCGCCATGCTACATAAAACATTCCTTTAAATTGTATGACCATAGACTATAAATATGACCTTATTCACACCACATCCCTGGTGTCTTACCTTATCTTTGGTAAGCAGGACGTTCACTGAGAAAGCAGGACAAAGAACTGTAAGAAAGCAGCAAGTGAGTATACGTAAATCCGAGGAAGCCAACTTGTGCATGTATTCAATTAAACTACCTACCTGTACCACTAAGAAAGACAGAGACCGAAGACAGGGTCAAAGGAAAGAACAAAGGCCACCAGGTGCCTTAGAACAGGCCCCATGAGGCCCTAATTCATTCATTGAACGATTGTTATTTATTTGTTTGTGTTTTCTCATGTGCAATTTGTGTAGATCATCTGAGAACTCATTTTTGTTACAGTGACCAAATCATAATTTCTTGTGAGTCAATAGTGATATCTGACTCATTGCTCCACTTGTTCAGTGAAAATGAGGTGGCGCTTTGGGTTTTGTGGGCAAAATATATCGAATAGAAGGACTTTTCAATACCTTAAAAAACAGTGGATTGATCCGACTATATAAGACAGAATAAGCCTTGATTTGCCCTCATACCTGCGTGTTTGCTGCAGCATTTAAACCTCTTTAACCAATCAGCAGGGAAGTTTACCAAATCTCACTAAACATGTGTCGCTTTTTACCAGTCTTCCTATCCTTAAAAAATGAGATGGAGGATTTTATTAACTGAAGTGTTTTTGCAGGAAGCTTATTATAGGTTCTTGGAATTTAGTTTTAAAAGCTCCTTCCTCTGCTGAATGTGTACACTACCATTACAGCTTTTATCAAAGAAGAATCTTTTCATACCTCGTGCAATTCAGAGAGCAGCTGACGAAACAAGTCGATCAGTTATGTTTTCATCATATTTGAGGTCTTTTTTCATTATCTCGAAAAAGTATGGCAAGTCTGCTTTAGTATTGAAATATTTAAAAGATAACAAAAATTATCATTTTCAGATTTGCCGATATGTTTATCTTTTGAGACTGGAGGACTTCCCTGATTAAAGCCAATCCGAAGATACAGCTATAATTTCATATACAATGTCCACCGCTAAAATGTGTGACCTTTAAGGCCTCAATAACCCATTAATTCTCATTTATTTTAAATTCCTGTCCAAAGCTGTGGAAAGCACTTGCACATCTTGTTTGTTTGGGACACAATAAAGGTCAGCAGTCATGTATTTATCCATAGTCTAGGATAGGACCATAGCAAGTCTTAAAGAAGGTGGGAGATGAGGAACGATGTGAGATATCTGAAAAAAGAATATGTGAATCACAGTGTGGCTGTGACACAAATACAAAGTCCTCTCCCACTTCTTGTTAGCTATCTACCACAAGTATACACACTAACAAGAGCAAAGGATCCTGTAACGCACACTATATTATGCAGTAATCCTATTGGGTCATAGTTGAATTTCTGCTGGCTGAAATCCCTGAAGAAAGTGTTTACTATAACAAGTCACCTGCGACCTCAGATGAGGTTTTCACACACCACCTCGGGCCATTTATTCCTGGAACGTTACATAACGCAGCAGTGGGTTCTGCTCACAGCCTAAACAGTCTCCTAGAGGAAAACAGGAAGGTAAGAGAATTGAAGCAGTGAGAGAAACAGCTATCTCAATGTCACTTCTGCATGCCATCTCAGGGATCCTTTTATCCACACAGTCGTGTATGGCCTGTAAACAGTGTTATCAGCGTTGTCTTATGTCAGGATACAGTATTTTAACTACCCATGCAGGCTAACCAGTCTTCTTCAGGCCTGCGTGTATAAACCACACTCTCACTTTAAAAGTTGCATGTGGAGTTTATAAAAGGCACATTGAAGGAAAATGTGTTCAGCAATATTATTGATAATCACTGCTAAGCTAATAAAGAATATCTGGGGGCAGTAATTATCACTTTAACCAAATCAACATTACCTGCTGGCAGTGGAAAAAGTTTTCGAATCACGGTGCAAATGTAATGATTGATGAGTAGTGGCAATTAGAGCTATTCGGATGACTGTGTAAATGCTTGTGCCGCTCGTTTCGGTGGCTGCAGAGCCTGTGTAATATTTTAAATGTGATAGTAAACGAATCTGGCATGTGCGTCACTAAGGGATAATTTGTGTCAAAAGGATGTCAAACACATCATGGTGAATAGGCAAGAGGTGTTGCCTTCATTAATGCTTTTTACTCTAAAATGGAAACTTTAATGTTCGTACGATTCCTCCATTTATCTGAGACCTTAAGCCACTCAGGAAAGGGGACCTCGTGTACGCCGCTCATTAGGTGTGGTGTGTGTGCATCATAACAGGAAGCTAGATCCAAAGTGACAGGATGCTGGGTATTGTTGTATTTCTCGGAATAGAAAGTACGGAATGCTGCTTAATTAATTCTCATATTTAGTCTTTCCTCAGATTGCTTTTTTCTCTGATATGCAGTGTGTAATAACAAGTTAATGTTTTTGGTCTATGATACAAACATGTATCTGCATGTGCCTATGCCTCTTAATATTTTCCTTAATTAATAAAAAAAGATGTATCACATGTTAACACACATGAAACTGCTCTGACTTTGAGCTGTAATAGAGATTTTGTTTAATTCTGCATTTGGATTAGGGAGACAACCGTATTTTGGGGACAGTTTTGTCCTTTCTCTCCTGACCATTTTGTTGTAAAGTAAAGCCAGTGGACTCACAACATTGCACACTTTGTTGTTGCTTTGACCTTAAAGAAAAGTCAGCAGGAAAAAAATCTGTTATTTAATTTCCAGTTGTGCCATGAGAAGATACAGGTGCAGAACATATTGTAAGATTGCTTATACTTATACTACCTTAAGGTTATCTAAAGGAATAGTAAGTAAAATAAGTCCCTTTTTGTCTTTATCTTGTCTGTCTTTCTCTGCTTTGGAACAAATCCTTACAATAGCTGAAGGTTGAAATGGAAAGTAATAATACAGAGGGAATGTATGCAATAACATATTCCATTCAATTATTATATAACAAGACTCTGTTAGTTACAGTTATAATAGTATGTTAATTATTGGATACCCCTCAGGTCATAAAGTGAGACAGAAAGTTTGTTGTTGGTTACTGATGTTTTTTCTGTGTATTTGCTGCAGGTATGCTCTTAAGGGTCAGTCTGCAGAACACTGATATATGGTGACATTCACCCTTTAGATGATCTTCACTGTTTTTGTTATATGTTGCGAGGAAATGGAGAGGGAAGCGAGGTTGTCCGAATCTTCCTCCATGTCCTCTTCTAAATCTACATCTGTGTTTCGTCTCAGTGCAGCCACTAAGGAAAGCTCACCCTCCAGACAACTCACTTTCAAGGATGAACTCAGACGCACACTCAAACACTAACGTTAATGTTAGCCCATCGAACAGCTTTAAGCCTGACTGCAAATCCCATACTGACAGGCTTAAGGCAGATGCTATTTACTTTGCAAAATAGATTATTTTTTAAATCCAAAATTAGGGAAGTGCATCTGGTGAGCACAGACGACTCATCCGCTCAGAATACATTTCATTCCATAGTTTTATTTCACAATGACCCCTGACTGCGCTTGTGTGTCTTTTTGCATCCCTCCTGACTGGTAAATATCCCTTGGCTCTACGAGTGGCTGCATACATGTTATATAACCAGACCTTCAGAGCAAACAGATGCAGCTTCTCAGCAAGGTATATGGTCACCCCCATTATTCATAACAGTGTATGAACTGAAAATAATGAATGTGTCTTACAAGTCATAGGCCTCCTACAAAGATGGACAATACAAAATGTACCACTAAATTCACAGACAAAATGTAAGTGCAGGTCAGTCAATTATGCTTTGAACATATGACATCCTAATTGGAAACCATGCAGGGCTGCTAAAGTTCAGAGAAACCTCCTGCTGTGCTTTTAAACCACTATTTCCATCAGGAACTACGACTTCCATGTCAGAGTTTTTTTATTGTTTGTTTTTACTGCTTTTTATTCATTCTACCATGTTATGTACTGTTTTTATTTTGTTCCATGCTCACTGCAGCACTTCGGGATTTGAACTCAAATATGAAGTGCGTTATAAATGAAACCCATTATTATTATTATTATTATTATTATTATTATTATTACCATAAATATCGCTGTCATGGATCTGCTATGAACATGTTGCAATATAATCTTTACAATTGATTATAATGGAAAGCTGTGGTATGTTGTGTAAACTGTTGGTGTTTTCCAACTCACTGCATGATGTAAGGCCTCTATAATGCTGAGGAAAACAAATAAAAAGACAACAAATAAAGTTAGATTTGAAAAGAATGAAAACATCTGAGTGCGAATGCAACAAACTCAGGGGCTAGCCTGAAGATACATTTCAAAGACATCTCAATTCCAACTGCCTGTAATGCCCCCCCCCTCCCATAGCTCTCTCTCACCCCCCCCCTTCTCTCTCGTTCTCTCTCTCTCTTTCTCTACCCACCCCCCCTACTTTCTCTCTCTCTCCCTCCTTTAAGTTAAGAGATGGGTTGAAGTTGGAATGATGTCAGCTCACTTCTGTGTGGGCATTCATAGCAGCAGCACTGTGTCTCCAAAGCGAAGCTGTTCAACGAACCGCAAATAAAGCAGCATTACGCACCACGATGTGACGGAAGAGGAGCGACTCTGCTCGTGGAGAGTTGGATACAAAACTCTTTGATATTGTCGGGACCCTGTGTGCTCATCAGGAGAAATCGAAGAACCTATGTTATGGGGTTGCTGTTTGAGGAGATGCATGTGTGCAGGTACTGCGCCTTATGTGGGCTACACTCTGTTCGTGCTGACCAGGAGCGTTACGCACAACATATCACCATGCATTAGTGAAAGGCAGATCAGCACAGCCAGTCTTAGCTGTTTTGGAATGGAAAACGGTGGCAAACATCGAACATGATCCGAAAGCACAAATTGGCGCTAGAATGGATGTAAATCAGTTATATTTGTTGATGGGGAACGTATCCAAGGATGAGAACACCACGGAAGCACCGCTTGGCTTGCCACACACCGGGGCAGCCACTGCGCTCATCATTTTTGTGGTTATCATCATTATTTCGGTGACCATTGTCGGTAACGTGTTGGTGATTGTAGCGGTGCTGACCAGTCGTGCTCTCCGTGCGCCCCAGAACCTTTTCTTGGTCTCCTTGGCATCAGCGGACATCCTGGTTGCCACACTGGTCATCCCCTTCTCCCTCGTCAATGAGGTCATGGGCTACTGGTACTTTGGGAGTACTTGGTGCGCTTTTTACCTGGCTCTGGACGTTTTGTTCTGCACCTCATCCATCGTGCACATGTGCGCCATCAGCCTGGACCGTTACTGGTCAGTGACAAAGGCGGTCAGCTACAACCTGAAGCGGACACCTAAGCGCATCAAGTCAATGATCGCTATAGTGTGGGTAATATCTTCTGTCATCTCCTTCCCTCCACTCCTCATGACCAAACATGATGAACGGGAGTGTCTGCTGAACGATGAGACCTGGTACATCCTCTCCTCGTGCCTGGTGTCCTTCTTCGCTCCGGGTCTCATAATGATTCTAGTTTACTGTAAGATCTATAAGGTGGCCAAACAGCGCTCCTCCACCGTATTCGTGGCCAAAAACGGTCTGGAGAGGCAGCCCTCACAGTCCGAGACATGTTTCGTCAGGAATGACCGGTTTGAGACGGAGAGCCCCAGCAGCCAGAGCTCCGGGAGTCAACAGAGGAGGCAGGGGGAGCTGGATGACATAGACCTGGAGGAGAGCTGCTGTCCGTCGGATACTAAACCCCGCAATCATCGCTTCAACAAGCGGAGAAAGGTGGAGGGGTCAGAGTGCTGCCCGCCTCAGAACTGCCGTCTCTCCTGGGCTTCAGCCCGGGCGCTGCAGCTCCCCCCGGAGCAGAAGCACCCAGCTGCGCGACAACAGCTGGCCGCGGCCAACAAGACCAAGGTGGCTCAGATGAGGGAAAAACGGTTCACCTTCGTGCTTGCTGTTGTGATGGGGGTGTTTGTGCTTTGCTGGTTCCCCTTCTTCTTTACCTACAGCCTGCATGCTATCTGCAGAGAAAGCTGCTACATCCCTGGTGCACTTTTCAACCTTTTTTTTTGGATTGGCTACTGCAACAGTTCTGTGAACCCTATAATATACACTATTTTCAACAGGGATTTCAGGAAATCCTTCAAGAAAATCGTATGCAGAACTTCAAAACGCACTTAAGCAAAGGAATCCTGTGGGCAAAATGTTGCCACCAATGGGCAAAAGGGGTTATATATAAGAACTCATTCTTCTTCTACTGACTGTGTTCCCTCCCCACATTCATTTTAATATAACTCGTCTGAATACAATGTGAAGTTGCAAAACAAAAGTACAGGTACATGTTCAGTTCATCACATTTTTTTTAATTCGATGCAAGCATGCATCAAACATGGTCATGGTTAATCAATCATTAGATGCATATGACACAGTTGTAATATATAGGTCATTGTATAATAAGTCCTGCAACACGCACCTTTGAACAAGAAGTTCCTCTATAATGGATCAATATTTCGTACTGCAGCAAGCCGGGGGAAAGAGCAACTTCAGGGTGAAATTGAAGTCATGAATGTAGTTTAAAATGCGTGATTCCAGAGCTGGAGGCTGGTGCACAGGGTGTTTTGTGTAAAGATAAAAAGAAGATTACTCTCCATCATATAAGATATGAGCATGAGGATAAGCAGGCTAGCAGCATGCCTGTGCGTCATGGGAAAAAATAAAGAATACAATCCTATGGTTTAAATGATTTATGTTTATTATCATGTGGTACAAATTGGTATTATAACTAGTATTTTTAGACACACATGTATTTAAACTTGCTGCTGTTTAAGCTACAGCGAGGCCATTTCTTATCAGTGAACCCCCAAACGTACATAAGAGTATAATCTTAAACCCCCACCGCACCATCACACCAGAACACAATGTCCAAGCTGAGGCCTGTGTGTGCAAAAACAATTTCAACACCTCACAATACCTCAACAAGATTAAGGCCATGCAAGATCCCATTCTGCTACACAGCCTGATTTTGGTTTCATTCATGTTACTGCAAGAAAAAACACATTTCAGTAGATTTCATTAGCTGTAGTCATACTCCTGAACATGCCAGAGGACAGATATTGTCGCACAGATATTGTCAGATATTGTCAGATATTGTCAGATATTGTCAGATATTGTCCCACTTCCATCAAACATCAAATCTCCTTGGTTGAATACGAGAGCTTAATATCCACACGCCTCAGTCTGTAATCCTTTGCTTTATAAAGCTGTATTAAAGTAATCTACATTATTAAGAAAGCTATGACATACATGAACAGGAAATGTTTTGGTTGCTGCACATGACTGTTTACCTCACAGGCTTGGTTGCTTCATGATGCATCTGGGACCAAAACTGTATTATGTAATGTGTTTTTTTTTTTTTTACGAAACATGCATGAGAAGTTCTTGTACTTTCTTCTGGAAAAAAAGTAGTGAAAAGAAGGCTGGCCAGCTCCATATCAGCCTATTGTCTGCTTGGGGGTTATGGATAGATACACTATTTATATCCTCTTAGGAATGTCTTCAAAGCATCTTACGGCTTACTGGCGCCTGCCAAAGATAATCACCCTGTTTGAAGGGTGTTGTGCTTAAAAGGAATTTTAAAGAAGGTTAATGAATTTGTTTCTGTGAAGTATGCACATATTCAAGAGGGTGTTGTTAAAATATCACTAAAGGCAAAAAGAGTGAAGGTGTTGGTATATTTCCTATTCCACTTGACATTCCGCACTATTTTATTCATGAAGATTATCAGACAGTCTGGGAGAGGTTAGAGGAAGGACATGTTATCTCAAAGGGACTCATAAACTCTCTAAACAAATTAAATGTCTGGGTCGAGACACACTAACAGGAAGTAGTGAAAAAAGCATTGTATCTTCATCTTGAACAATTACTGGTATGGAAGTGGTGTTAATTGGAAAATATGTAATTTGAAACTGTTGTGTATATGTTAAATAATGTCATTTCTCTAGACAGCACTGTCATTACTCTTAAAGCCTGTTGCATTCTCTGAGGAGGAAATATTTACATGAGTACTATGTCATTTTCTTCCCGATTACCATCTGACAAGAAGTCCAACTCCCTTGTTAAATCTCACTTTCTAATTCAATTAGCTTTCCAATCATCTGCTCTGTTGCAGCAAAATGAAACTGTCTTTATGTTGTTTTCAGTTGGGTTTAATCTCTCGAAGGAATTTCTCGTGACACAGTTCAGCTCAGTTGCATCTTTCCGACCAAATTGAGAGTACTAACACGTAAAAACAGCATATCTTGTTATGTAATGGTTGTTCTCAAATGCAGATCTCTCACAACCCCCCACTATTCAAGACAAATGCTCTGTTATTGTATTAGTATTCAAGATAAAATGAGTGTTGTTTGTAGTCTGTTTATTTGGAGGCCTTATTATACCGAACTCTTTATTCATCCTAGACTGTAAACAAAGTGTGAGACTATAGTTCAGGAAGAGAAAGCAGAGCTGTGACGCCCCCTAACCTCTCAAATCTTAATCCAAAGGCTTAAAGAGAGCGAAGAGAAAGATGAAGGGAAAGTTTTATTTTGGGCAGTTTTTTAAAGGAGGGTAGGAGTGGATGGTCAGTGCAGACTGCCAGGGCTGTTGAGTACTGAAGGTAATGCTATTTGCAGTCACATTTCCCCAAAGGAAAGATGTTTAAAATGTTTCAACATCAGAGCAGCATCTAAGGATGAGAGATGCTGAAGGATGCCGAGAGCTGTTGTCCTCTGCTACGTTACCTTGTTTGTCAGGCACAATGCTGCATCTGCAGGTAATTGCTTTTGTCAATCGTCTCTAACAAGATAAGGGTTGAAGGCGAGCAAGGCCAAAAGTGGCGTCAATTCCAGGAAGCTGCGTATCTTGAGAAGAAGAGCCAGTTTGTCATTAGTGTAAATCAGCTGGCGATCACGTCCAGAGGGTGGGATTGAGCTCACTCCGTCCAGGTCGTTCTAAGAAATACATACAGTACAGCCCCGTTAAACACAATCACACTTGAGGTGTCAAAGGAAATTAGAGAGCTGTGTGTTTGTATTTCTGCATGCACACATCCTCGAAATTAAGACAAATAACTTTGACAGCCTTTGTATTTTGAAGTAGATAAACAAGCTGACCGAACTGAAAACTCTTGGTTTGGTTAAAACTATTTTTATTAAAAGGCTTATTGGCTCAACATTGTTCAAACAAACTGAAACTGAAGAAACAACTTTGTGTAGTAGTTGATTATTTGTGGTGCGTTGGAAAACCTATTGACTTAGAGTGTAACCATGGACACCTAATCCATAGACCTTCCTCCTCATGTTGTTTTGCTTGAATTCCTGCATTAGGCACACAAATATTCAGGAAAGTGTAGTTTTTCAAAGGGAGATGTGGCTGTGTCTATTTGTTTATCACAATTTGTTCATTCCTGAATGAGCATTGTATATTTATTTTAGAAAAAAAAAAGTGTGCAAAATATTTCCATCCAATCTCATTCTACTTTATATTCAAGTCTTTGCAGTTTCAACATATTCACAATGTTTCCACTACATACAGAATTGAGTGTGATGAAAGGACGACAGAAAACAGATGGTGCCATTCAGAAAAACATGTGTATTGTAGACATTAAGGCTTCTGTTTTTCCCGATCATTGTATTGCTGTTGTCTGTCTTTAAAAATCAGTGAATATATAGTATCCATCCCCACACACTCTATTCCATAAAGTCAATGTGCTTTCTCAGCAGTTTGTGTGATAATAAAACTCCTTTCATTTCTAGCAGGCATTTGCAGGCAATATTTAAATCCAAAGTAAACCTTTGTGATTAATTTTCTAGTGAATAATTGTGTACTGTATTCCTCTCACAATCTCTGGTTGAAGGGACTGCTCTTGGTACGCTCCAGTGCTTACCCTGTTTCTCTACAGAGGCAGGTTAATGGGATGATGCCCTGCTGGACCATAATGCATCTCTCTTCCCCTATTGTTATTTATTCCTGACATCATGTGTAAAAACACAGACATACATCTCCTGCTCTGATATATTTGTCCATTTATCCACTTTGTGGCATAGAAGTAACACCATTAAAGGCTCACCTTTGACCTGTGATACTACACGACATCCAATACCTAAAAACAGTAAATGGACTGGGCTTACTATAAGGTGAAGGTAGGTCACAACTGAACAAAAGGGGAACTAAAAATACAATATGTAAGGGAAAATGTAATGGGTCATTCATTCCAAATGAGCACGGACAGGGAAGGGATCTTACATCTACCAAAGAGGTTCATTTCACATTGATGACCCACTTGATGTACATTATCACATTTATTACAAGGCTACTACAAATTCATATTTTGATAAAGAAACACCGATTTAAAAATGGGTTAATTGCTTCCTCTAAGTAAGTAAAAAAACATTTGAATCCAGTATCCAACAGGGCCATGTAAAAATAGGAAATCATATATTTACAATCACCTCATAGGAACCATTTAAAGGGGACCTATCATGCTAAATGCACTTTTTGATGTCTTTTATACATAAATATGTGTCCCCGGTGCGTCAGGGAACTCACACAGCGTCAGAAAATAAAACCCTTTCTCTTTTCCTCCGTACCCAAATCTCTAAAAACAGGGGTACAACGGAGCTGATCCAGATTTGCGTCCGATATGACGTAATATCGGGAATGTGGACCCACGGCCCTATCAGAAATGTTGCTATCAGAAACAATGCCCGACTGTTTTGGACGTAATATGGTCAGTGTTTACATTAGCATCGCTAACCCTCAGAGCTAACCTGTACTGGAGAGCATGTGTGTGAAGAAGCAGGAAATAAAAAGGAACTCACCTTGTGGTATAACCGGCAAGAGAGAAAGCTTTATACACAAAAATCAGCACTTTTGAAACAGGAAGTGAAATAGAGGTATATGAGGCATGGCTAGAATGGGTGATCTGTTTGGTATTTTGAGCAAAACACTTCATAGATATATTTTTTATATATTTGTATAAATATATATATGAGACCTATGCTATTACCTAAAAATAGCATGATAGGTGCACTTTAACTAATGTCAGGAGCCAAGGGAGAAAAGGCAGGAATGTAAATGCTGAATCAACATAATAAGTAATTCCATCATGATCCAATCAGTGTGTGTACTTTTCTAGCTCTAGTGTTCTTCACAACAGCAGCCCATCAATGCATACTCTGCTCTGACCCAGTTTCAATGAGTTGGAAGGGTGGGTGCTTTTCAAGAGCTTATCTTTGCCTTGGGCCTCCAAGCAGCTGAGTGCACCCATTGGTGGGACACGGGCACTTCACAGCAGGAGGTGTTTTAATTATGCTGACTTAATTGTTCTTGTCATACATATTGTATTCAGCCCAATAATGTACAGTGAATAGCATCTGCAATGAGCTGGTTATTATAAGTAACAACGCTTTCAACCTGCACTTGATGCAGAAAGTCGACTTATTGTTTTACAACACTGCAAACTTGACTCATCATCTCTCCTGCGCATATAAAAAAAAGTCTTTCTTTATTAAATGTTGAACCAGGAATCAATTATATAAGCTAACACCATCTCAAGTAACACTGGACTAACTAAAGCTTAGTATGTTTGTTTAAAATGCACAACTGCAACAAGTAAAGGGCTTCAGATTGTAAAATGGAGCAACTGAGCCTTGACAAGAGCAAAACGTTCGCTGCAAGGGTTGTCTCTTGCCAAATAAATCCTTTCCAAAAAGTGTGTACATGTTCCGACTCTGTTGCAATCAGCTTGGCACGGATGACATCTTAAGATAACATGTGTTTTCCAAAGCTACAGTAAAAAGAAGATATCATGTTTTTACTCATGTCCTCAAGAGTAGGCTAGTAAGTTAGCATTTTAGATTGTTTTGGTTGGTGGGATACATTTTGAACTCTTTCTTGCTAAAAAGCTCAAATAAACCCACCGTGTGCCAAGCAACAAACATGGACACTTAGTCAGTGACCAGCTGGTGAACAGAGTGGAGCATCTAGCTGCTAACCACATACTTCCATCAGGAGTCGGTGGAGACCAAAACATAGATCAATAATCCCCAGGTGACAAAAACAGAATTCCAAATAGATGGTAATTGGAACAACTTTCCAAATAACAAATGTATACTATGTGAGTTATGCGTTTACAGCTGTGACTCCCCGAAGAAGCCAATAAATGAATATATTACAAGTTACCACTCTTTCAGGATAATTATTAAGAGGATACTCAAAGGAACACATAATCACTAGTTAATTAAAGCGTAAAACAAAGTAGTTCGCTTTTTGGGAATCAATCAAATTCAGTTATAAATGTTTTTATTATTCCCGCGGCACTCTTGTGCTTCTGTATTCACGGGCTTCCTGTTTTTGAATTGAAGGTCCGTTGCTAATTGAAATGATGATTGTGCAGATTTACTGTAAAGAATTTTTTAATATTTAGTACAAATTCTCTATATACATTTGAAATGGACTGAAATGATACATTTCTAGAGGATGTGGGAGGACCAGCTGTTGGGACAGGAAGTGGAGGAAGATGTGGGAAGGGTTGAGGGGGGTTCAGCCTCAGTGACCCTGAGATGAATGCAGCCTAATGAGGACTGACGCTCACTCCACAACACAATCACCCAGTGGAGATTTGGCTGTTATGTATCAGCTTCATACTCTTATTTATCATCATGTGTAGACAGCCTTGTCTGATACGCAGGTTATTTGCTATTTTAACTGCGCTAATCCAAATGCAAGATTGTGGAACAATGACTCGAGTGTTGCCACCATCCACGACAGCTAATGGGACATTTGGCCCCTGAGGGAGGGGACCCACTTCGGGTCACGCGCACAAACATTATCCTAAAATGGTCGGTTCTCACAGGCCTCAAACCTGCCCACAACCAGACAAGCTCAGCAAGAAAAGTCATTTAGTTTTCCATCCCAACAACTGTTTTATCTCACCCCCTGACTCCAAACTATTTTGGACCCTAAAGCCAGGCCTTGCGGTCAGCGCTCCCAAGCCCCAAATGAGCTGGAGTTTCAAATTGTTGCTACACAGAAAGTATAGTGAAATGTAGCAACCCCAAGGACAACAGGAAGTTATAAATCAAAGGAGGAGGCAGATTGAAAGCGATTGCTGAAGAGAGAACAGCTGTGCGAGATAGTGGCCACTCATATGTAACGGAGATTACAATCCCTCTGCGGCATCAAAGGAAAGCCAGGGGGAAATTACAGGAGTAGGGAAACATTAGCTGATGACACCCAAAGGAAATATACTGATGTTGTGTAGAAGGAATAACCCGAACTTGGTAATATAAACATTGGGAATATTTATTTTCATAACCTTTGACCCCTTTCTTCGCCTCCACCCTCTTTGCTCATCCATTTGTTCAGCTATCCTTTTTAAATGATGACATTTTTTGTGTGGACAGTTAATAATTTTCTGCACGTTGTACTTCATTTGATCCTGTTATAGCAGGGGTCACCAACCTTTTTTAGGATGAGGGCTACTTTCAAAAAATAAAACAAGTCGTGAGCTACTTTTACTCTTCTTTTTTTCTTTTTTGCAGTGTATATATTTAGCACATTTTAACATTATTATATGCTGACCTTTAACCTTTGTGTGCTGTTTGGGTCTGTGGGACCCGTTTTCAGTGTTTACTAAAAGAACATGTATGCAATTTAATTATTTGAACCTGCTTTATTTGGGGGTGGACCTCACCTCCTCTAGTGGGGTCCTCACCTCCTCTAGGGTTCCGGGGGCATGCACCCCCGGGAAGATGTTTTTTTAAATGTTGAAGTTAAATGCATCAATCTGGTGCACTATGAGCACAAAATGAATTTATGGATACAGCTCTCAACACTCAGATGAAAGGGAGCTGTATACATTTCAATGATCCAAACATCTTTAGAATATGATCACAACCAATAACAAATCATTTAAACTTGTTTATTCTTATCTTATGTTACCTAGTTAGCATTCTTTCTTTTTATGTATGCATATTTTACTAATCACTCCCCTTTTACACTGTTTACTGTTTTTTGTACTGTCCTATAGTACACACTGGAATAATTTCTTACTTTATCTATATTAAATAGAAAAAAAGTATGCTCTCCCTAGCTCCCTCGCTCCCTCGCTCGTTCTCTCTCTCTCTCCCTCTATCTCGCTCGCTCACAGAGGCTGTGTGCTCCTCCGTGACGGATTGCGTAAAAAAAAAATAATAATACATATTTGTAAAGTGGGGGGACAAAAACGGGATTTCAAAAAGTGCGGGGGACATGTCCCCACTGTCCCCAGTGGAGATTACGCCATGCGTGTGTGTGCGTCAAGTGGAATAAATATATATGCAAGTTGCAACACACACAGTAAAACTCTGCCCCTCGTGTGCTGTATAGGCTGGCACGATAGGCTGTTCAATGGGGCTGATGTGTTGTGTAGATTCTGCCAGAAGGAAAATCACGGGGAGGTGCCACATTGCTTTTCTTCCCGACTGCAACGCTGGTCCCGCAAATCAAGCAAGAACGTGATTGGTCGATATTCATTGTGGGGTGGGGGGAGGGGTGTTAGATAGATATAGAGTTGTAGTAAGTAGATAGAGTTCGCTATGATTTAGGTTTCGTTTATGCATGGGGTAGATTATTTTAATTACATTTCCTTTTTAGTTTTGTGTATTTTATACATTTTGGATTTGCTTGGCGAGCTATAGAACGTGCCCCGCAGGCGCCTCACCTTGCCCCTGCGGGCGACTGAGTGCCCGCGGGCACTGTGTTGGCTACCCCTGTGTTATAGTATCCCATCAAGCTTCACCCCTTCATTAAGGAAACATATG